GCCTCGCGGATCCAGTCGATCAGCACCTCAGTGACCGCACCCTTGCTGCGCAAGGGGAGGACTGTGGTGTAACGCGAGTAGTCGTCAACCACCAACAGGAAGTAGCGCTCGTAACCCTGCCCACGGACGGGGGCTGGGCCCCACACATCCATGTGAAGCGTCTGCAGGGGAGCCTCTGTCGGGGGGAAGTGGGAGGAGTGAGGAGTAGCCCGGAGGCGACCCTCGACACAGGGGACACAGGAAGGTCCTGGCCCGGAGGGGAGAGGAGGGAGAGACTGGGGAAGACCAGAGACAAGGACACGGGAAGCCATGCTCCGAAGACGGGGCAAGGAGGGGTGGCCAAGACGGTGGTGCCACAGGAGAGTCTCGTGAGACAGGAGGCGACAAGAACAGGGGGCAGACTCAGGACCTGACCGGGACGCAGCAGCAAGTACCTGACCCGACGCAGCCACCTGACCAGACGCAGGGACAGGAGGAGACTCAACGGTCAGGGTGTAGAGACTCGACCCCGGCCGACGCGAGAACGTGGCCAGGTGTCGGCCTGTGCGAGCCTCCGTGCAGTGGGTCACCCGCTGACGCGCAGGAGTGAACTGGTGAACACCCCCATCCTGCAGGTCCGCTCCACTCACCAAGTTCGTAGAGAACGAGGGAAGGTACAGACCCGACAGGGTGCCCGAAGGGGCAGCCGGACACGGGAGGACAGTGGAAAAGTGAGACAGGACAGGACCCCCAGAGGGGTCAGCAAGGGAGACCGCAACCGGCCTGGCGAGCGGCGAAAGGGTAGTGCGGTCTCGAAAGAAGGAGCGAGAAGCTCCGGAGTCAAGTGTGAAAGTGAGGGAGGACGAGGACGACTCAGTACCTGAGAACGCAGTCTCACCAGTACCTGAGAGCGCAGACGCACTGGCACCTAGAGCAGCAGCCTCACAAGTACCTAGCGCAGCAGTACCAATGCCCGGGTCGGGCTGGAAACACCGGTAACCCTCATTCTCCTCACTATAATCCACAACATACATAGCAGTAAGGATAGCATCAAAATCAAGATCAAAGATCGCTACACCAGCCCTGAGAAGCTCATCCCAGCGAGGGATCTCACTAGCCCCAGGGAACTGCTGACGCCAAGCGTCCGTCAGGCGGCCAAAGCAGCGCTGGGTGGCGTGGGCACCCCCACACTGCTCACCCGCGCGGTCGCCGGAACGAAGAACGTAGGTGCAGGGACCAGTACCCCCACCCCTCTGACGCCCAGCGTACCACTCACGAAGCTGCTGAGGCGAAGGGATGTCCCGTGAGCGCTGCTGCTGCTGCCGGTGCGAGCGCTGGCCACCACCACCGCCGCTACGCTGCTGGGTACCACCCCGACCAGCTCCACCTCCTCCACCACTACTGCCTCCGCCGCTGCCGCCTCCACTGCCTCCACCTCCGCCGCCTCCACCTCCGCCGCTGCCTCCACCACCACCGCTGGCACCACCACCACCGTCTCCGCCGCTGCTGCCACCACCACCACCACCACCCCCGCCACTAGTCCCGCCGCCACCCCCACTCCCTCCGCCGCCACCGCCGCCACCGCCACCGCCCCCCCCAGCTCCACCCGCGCCCTTGCCTCCCTTGCCCTTGCTGGAGCGACGTCTCCCACTAGGGGCAGACGCCGTGCCGACCGACTCAAGACCAAGCAGGTCGGCAGCAGCAGCAGAGGCAACAGAGGGCAGCAAGGGGGAAGGAGAGCACCCCTCAAAGATGGGGGTGCGAGGGTCACCACGAGAAGCACCTACAGCGACTATGCTCTTCTCCGCTGCAAGGAGGGCCTTCTCGAGGAGGTCGACGGTGAGAGTGGTGGGACAGACTGCGAGAAAGTGGTCCCTGACGACGCGAAGGGAGTCAGGGAGGCGCGCGACTACGTAGTAGAGAGCGATGTACATGGGAGGGGGGTTCCTAGCGCAGAACTCAGCAGGAAGGGCGGCGCGGTAGCGAGTGTCACTAGTGCGGAGGTGCGTAATGAGGTCAGCGACAGTGGGAAAGGCAGAGAGGTCAGGAAAGAGGTAGGGAAGCATGAGACGGCTCAGTGCAGCAGTGGCAGGGGAGGAGTAGCGCGCAACTACAGCGTCGTACAAGGTCTGAGCACTCTTGTACTGACTAAAGTGCGCACGCTCAGAGGTAGGGAGGTGGCGACGCACAGCAAGACGTGCAGCAGCATCGCGGGTGGCCCACTTAGAGCGGACAGCGGGATCAGCATCAGCAGCAGGAGCAGGAGAGGCGCCAGAGGTGAGGTCAAAGAGAGAAAGGTCATCAGCCCTGTCGCACTGTAAGAACAGCTGCAGGTCGTCTAGCCAGACCTCAAAATCAATGGCGCGACCCTCAGCGTCAAAAGCTAGGACACTAGGGGTAGCCATGACGACGACTGTGAAGCAGTGCAAGCAGTAGGGGGGAGAGCACGCAGTGACAGTGGGACTGTGCTCACCAGGCAGGGCAGGTCGCGCAGCTCGACAGAAAAGCAGAACGGCGACCGGGCGGCTCGGGTGCACAGCGGATCGGCTCCCGGGCGGCTCGACGGCAGGGCGGCTCGGGTGCAGGGCGGCTCGGCTCCCGGGCGGCTCGGCTGCAGGGCGGCTCGGGTGCAGGGCGGCTCGGCTCCCGGGCGGCTCGGCTGCAGGGCGGCTCGGGTCCCGGGCTGCTCGGCGACAGGCGGCTCGGGTCGCGTAGAAGTGAGACGGGGCGGGGCCGCGTCAGGGCCGGCGGTAGGGCCGCGTAGGAGCCGGGGCAGGGCCGCGAAGGAGCCGGGGCGGGGCCGTGATAGGAGCCGGGGCAGGGCCGAGTAGGAGGCCGGCGGTGGGGCCGCTTAAGGGGCCGGCTGCGGGGCCGAGTAGGAGCCAGCTGCGGGGCCGCGTGAGAGCCGGCGCGGGGCCGCGTAGGAGCCGGCGGCGTGGCCGCGTCAGGGCCGCGTAAGGAGCCGGCGCGGGGCCGTGTAGGAGCTGGCGGCGTGGCCGCGTAAGGGCCGCGTAAGGGCCGCGTAAGGGGCCGGCGCGGGGCCGCGTAAGGAGCCGGCGGCGTGGCCGCGTAAGGGCCGCGTAAGGGCCGCGTAAGGGGCCGGCGCGGGGCCGCGTAAGGGCCGCGTAGGAGGCGACGCGGGGCCGCGTAAGGGCCGGGGCGGGGCCGCGTAAGGAGCAGGCGGCGGGGCCGCGTAAGGAGCAGGGCGGGGCCGCGACAGAGTGGGCGGCGAGGCCGCAGGGGAGAGGGCGACTCGAGGGGTCGCTAAAAAAATCGCGCCTCGGGGGCGCGCTTCGGTGGGCCCAAAAAAAAATTTCGGTCCTGGAGGGACCTAGCTCTATACCATGTGTAAATGAGTAAGCAGGAATGAATGAACTATGAATGAAAGCAGTGCAAATATGAAACCCTAACTGGGTTGTACCCCCTATGGGATACCCCACTACAGCCTACACAGCAGTATAAGCTATAGATATGTTCTGACACGTAGTTGTGCGAATGAACGCAAACCAGTTCCTATGGCTAGGGAAATGGATAAACTCGGGAACTATGTGAAGAAATAAGGCTAAAAAACACATATTGACGACGAAACGGTGACATGTTGCGTACTGGCCTATCCTTGCACAGATTCATGCCATCAAACGCGCAAACAAGCGTCACGTGCTGCGTAGTTGTGCGAATGAACTCAAACCAGTTCCTATGGCTAGGGAAATGGTTAAACTAGGGAAATATGTGAAGAAATAAGGCTAAAAAAAAGATATAGTGGACGAAACGGTGACATGTTGCGTACTGGCCTATCCTTGCTCAGATTCAGGCCATCAAACGCACAAACAAGCGTCACGTGCTGCGTATTTGTGCGAATGAACTCAAACCAGTTCCTATTCCTATGGAAATGGATAAAATACAGAACTGTGTGAAGAAATAGGGCTAAACAAACCATATACATGATCAAACGGTGACACGTTGCGTATTGGCCTATCCTTGCACAGATTCAGGCCATCAAACGCACAAACAAGCGTCACTTGCTGCGGAGTTGTGCGAACGAACTTAGACCAGTGGCTAGGGAAATGGATGAAATAGGGAACTGTGTGAATAAATAGGGCTAACAAAAGCATACAGACGTTGAAACGGTGACGTGTTGCGCACAGGCTTATCATTGCATCGATTCATGCCATCGAACGCACAAACGAGCGTCACGAGCTGTGTAGTTGGGCGAACGAGCTCATTCTAGTTCCTATGGATAGGGAATAGACTGAGTTGTGTGATTATTAAATGCTAAAAATACAAGTATATACAAGAATGATGATACATCGACTACGAGCAAGTATTTAATATTTTTAAAAAACATGTCAAAAAGTTTAAAAAATATGATAAAAATTTGCACATGAAGCATTGGCAAGATATTGGCAAGGTTTACACTAGTATTGGCAAGATATTTGTTTCACGAATATCTCAATATCCACCGAATTATAATACCAAGCGGGTTGACAAAAAAATGTAACATTACCAATTCAAGTTTAATAGCACTGTTTGTTACAATTTCTTGAAATATGAAAAGCGCGATGAACAGTTTGCTACCACGAAACCATCTAGCTGGGCCTGCGGAGTTGACTTCAAGTGCCCAGAAACACGCGCACCACTTCGAAAAACACGCAACACCCTAACAACACTCCCACGAATCATGCGAGCAACATTCTCGCATGATTCCCAACCCTTGAAAGACGAGGAAGATGCAAACAAGATTCGCGCATGTCACAATCCCCTCCCCCCTGTTTTGCGATGTAGCACACGTGTTTCGTAGAATCTCGCGTTACAGTCGCCACCGATAGTAGTACTACATGCAGCAGAACGGCTTAGTATTCTGTTCTGCTCACGAAGCTCAATCTCCCGCCCTGCAACGCGCTCACGCAACGGCTCTTGAGCACGCAATTTAGCAACGAGCTGTCCACCGTAGTACGGGTCACGCGCGTTCGCGGTACGTCACGCAAGGCGTCACACGGGCAACACGAGCGCGGAGACTGTCGATGGGGGGTTGCGCCGCGGCGATGGGGAGGCGCGGCGACATCGCGATTGCGGCGAGAGCGGCGATGATGGCGCTGGTGGTGGCGCGCTGCTGCATGCCCCTCGCACGCGCTGCTCCCGTGGTGGACGGCGAGAGTAAGCCGTTCAGCCGAGAGTAAGCCGTTCAGCCGAGAGTAAGCCGTTCAGCCGAGAGTAAACCGTTAAGCCGAGAGTAAGCCGTTCTTTTTTGACCTCCTCATCACAGACTGAGAGTTAGCCGTGATGCACGCCGACAGTAAGTCGTGCTTCACCCTATTTATTCCCTCCACATCCTTTTGACAGTCACAGATCTGTGACAATAAGTGGCCGTGCCATGTGCCATGCGGCCCCCAGGACCGTAACCCTATTCAGCATGCAACATGAACTCCGCACCAGCAACTACTTATCTCTGCTGCTTGCAGCTGTCCCTCCTGCCACCCCCACCTCAATTAACCCTCTACCCTCTCGCTGTTCCTCTCGCCTCTCCCTTTCTGTGGGAATGTTCCCATCCCAACACGTTCTGTGGCACGGCATGCTGCATTGCCGGGGGGTTGTATGGCACGGACGAATGGCGTGAATGGATGGCAGTGGAAGCTTTGGAGAGTCTGGCACAAGAATGGAAAGAGGCCGCGGGTACGAGCACGTGGAGCAGGGGCAGGGATTGCGACAGCATGGATTCCTTGAAGTGTGATGGCGATGGGCATGTCATTGCACTGTAAGCATGTCATTGCACTGTAAGCATGTCATTGCACTGTAAGCATGTCATTGCACTGTAAGCATGTCATTGCACTGTAAGCATGTCATTGCACTGTAAGCATGTCATTGCACTGTGCACCCTCCATTGTCCCCTTGCATCTGTTTCCATTCCCTTCGCCATCTGTGAAATCATTATTTGTTTCAACTTTTGTTCTCCTTCCCTCCATTTCATCCTTCTCCTCGCACAGCAACATCAGAGGGTGCAGCCTCGTCGCCCCCCTGCCCACGGCTCTCCTCGCATTGTCCCATCTCAAGGATCTGTAAGACTCCTTCTGTTTCACTCTCTCTTCCCCATGGCCCTCGCTCGTTCCATGCCCCACTTCCCCCACTGACTTGTCTTTTGCTTGTACTGACTTGCATGTCACTGACTTGCATGTCACTGACTTGCATGTCACTGACTTGCATGTCACTGACTTGCATGTCACTGACTTGCATGTCACTGACTTGCATGTCACTGACTTGCATGTCACTGACTTGCATTTGATTGGCTTAACACTGCTTGCCCTATCTCGCCTGCCTTCTCTTCTATTCTCTTCTCTTGTCTCGCCCACATCACCCTCTCTTGTGCGTCTCCTCCTGTTTCCATCCGTTTTTCTACGATTCTGCCCCTACCCCCTATGTCCATCCTTTCCCCTTAACCGTATTATCGCCATACTCCATATTTGTGCGTGCTGCCTGCCTGCAGTGATTTCGAGTTTTGCAATCAACTCCCTCGCTCGCTCCCGGATCTCCCAGGAAAAAATCCTTCTCCCATGGGCCTGTGAGTACAATATTGCCTCCCATGCACCTCGCTCTTCTCCCATGCACCTCTCTCTTCTCCCATGCACCTCTCTCTTCTCCCATGCACCTCTCTCTTCTCGCGTGCACATCCAACCGCATGCCTATTGCCACCCCCTTATCAAGTGAATCAGATCCATTGCCTATTTCACAACAGCAGCAGCCCCACACCTGCTGCCTGCGTGCCCCCTCCTGCTCTCTCTTCTCTCCCCTCTTCTGCTCCACTGACACTCCTCTCCTATTCCCCATTGCTTCATCTGCTCTGCTCTGCTTCCCTCTGGCCCCAATCGCCTCTGACCCCCTTTCTCCCCCCCCTGCCAACTCCCCTCCCTGCCATTTCCCCTCCCTGCCGTCTTCCTTTCTGCCCTCTCCCCCATTCCTGCCTGCCTGCCACGGCCCATCAATGCAGCAGCACCGCCTCTCACGGCAATCTCAACGCTTCCGTTCCGCAAGAGCTGGGCAATCTGCAGCAGCTCACCCGCCTGTCAGTGCGCTTGGGGGGGGGGATGCAGCAGGTGGGAGGGGAGTGAATGGGTGGGTGGGTGGTGCGAATTGCAGGGTGAGAGGGTGGGTGAGGGGGTGAGTGGGTGAGTGAATGATTGAAGAGAGAGAATGAGTGCAAGTGGTGGAGCAAGGTGAGGCTTACAGCGTTGTTCGTCCACCGGAGAGTCGTGTCGACTCCCCATGTCCATCTAGCCCCTCACACCCCATCTGGCCCCTCACACCTTATCTGGCCCCTCACACCCCATCTGGCCCCTCACACCCCATCTGGCCCCTCACACCCCATCTGGCCCCTCACACCCCATCTGGCCCCTCACACCCCATCTGGCCCCTCGCACCCCATCCGTCGCCATGATCTCTGTGCTCCCAACTGCATCACCTACTGCTCCCCACTCCATTGCATCTCCTGCCACTCGTTTCTTTCCTTCAGCCTCTGGTCAACCTTCCTCTCTCCCCTGCACCATCCTCCGATAATGCTAAACACTCCACCTGCATGGTGCATGCGTGGTGCACGCGTGGTGCATGCGTGGTGCATGCGTGGTGCATGCGTGGTGCATGCGTGGTGCATGCGTGGTGCACGCGTGGTGCATGCAGGAGTTTGTCGAGCAACCATCTACCGGAGTCACTACCAGTCGGGCTCTCCCAGCTGCAGAAGCTGCAGTCTCTGTAAGGCCGGGTGAGGGGCATGGGATGGCATGGGATGGAACCCGGATGCTCTAAGCCATCCTCCCTTGTTTTCCCATGCTCCCTCGCTTCATTTGTTCCCGTCGGGTTTTACATGTCCCCTTCCCAGCAACTTCCCTGCTCCGTGCCTCTTGACTGCTACTTGCCTCTTGACTGCTACTTGCCTCTTGACTGCTACTTGCCTCTTGACTGCTCGCATCATCAGGGAGTTGTCGTGGAATCATCAATTGTCTGGGGAGCTGCCTGCGTGGATCTTCAGCCTCACAGACTTGACTTCACTGTGCGTGCTGCCATGCACCATCCGCCGTGCACCATCTGCCATACCATGCAACATTCACCATTCTTGATCATTTCCCATGTACATCGTACCCTTATGACCTTTCTCTTTATCTCAACTTCCTTTCCAATACTCTCAGTCTACTCCAAACTACCATGCTAGTTCGCTTGCTTTCACAACTCTGCACCGCATTTCATCATTTTACCCCTCTTCCATTTTACCCCTTTTTTTATTTTACCCCTCTTCCATTTTACCCCTCTTCCCCATACCTTCTCTTCCGACCTTCCCCAGCCAATGATTCCTCTCCCCTCTCTACACTTCCCCCCTGTTTCTGCCCAACCCTCTCCATCCACCAGGGATATCAAGGGCAACAAATTTACAGGCTCCATTCCAGAGGCAATCAGCAGCCTCAAGCAGCTAAGGGAGTTGTGAGTGGTGATGGGGTAGGCATGCAAGGTGCTGTGGGATGATCAGGTGTGGTAGATCAGTGAGTGCTTGTGTGAATGAGTGAGTGAATGTCTGAGAGTGAGTGAGAGAATGAGAGTGAGAGAGTGCTGCAGGATGAGTGAGGCAAAGGGCTCCCATTAGCAAGAATGCACGAATCATTGCAGACACATGCACTGCAGACACATGCACTGCAGACACATGCACTGCAGACACATGCACTGGAGGTGCATGTGAGGCACAGCCATGCTTTATCAACCTTCCCACACCCAACCTCCACCGCTCCCCTTTGCCGCTCCTCTCTGTGCTGTGCTTCATCCCACTTTGCCTCCTCGCCTTTATGCTGCTCCAAAGAAAACACTGTAACCCCACTGGATCTCTCTGTGCCACACGTCACCGCACTGTGCCGCACATGATCGCAGACGCATCACGGAGCCAACGCTGTTAGGGTCCATCCCCGAGTCAATAGGAGCGCTCACCAACCTCGAAGATCTGTAAGGATGAGGAATACCCGCATTGCTTTCCACGAGGTCCCTCCCCCGCCCCGTGGGATGAAGGTGGTGCTCCAATCTAGCTGACGTTAACTTGATCGGTCATGTGTGCTGATTTGCTGAGTTGCTGCCATGGATTGTTTCAAATCAAGTTGCTCTAATATGCAATATGAATCCTGTGAGCCATTCTTGCCCCGAGTCACCATACCGGGTCAACCGGACTGGAAAGCATTGCAAGCCATTAGTCTTGGGGAGGAGAGACAGCGTCTCTTATGCCTTCAAAAACCGGATTTAGAAGTGATGGCACACATTCTTCTCGGTTGGACAAATGAATTTCCTTTTTCCAACACGTCTGCTAGCTCAAAAGATGTTAACACACGGAGTTTTCAGATCTCCTTTTTCTCTCAGTGTTTCTTTCACACCCTTGTCCCTTCTGGATCTTCACTTGTGTTTGTGTAACTTTTTGATATTTTGCCTCTGAGACTTCTCTTGAGCCATGGCAATTTCTCTTGAGTCGAGTACCCCAGTGCTCTAAGTACTCTAGTCTAGGAACCCTAGACCAGCAGCACCCGCATGCGCTCTCACACATCCTCTAGGAGCTTTGCTCTTATTCCGTGCCATCACGTGCCATCCCATGCCATCACGTGCCATCCCATGCCATCACGTGCCATCCCATGCCATCACGTGCCATCCCATGCCACGCCACGCCATCACGCGCCAGGGATTTTCAAGGCAGCCGCAGCCTGAGTGGCACCATTCCCGCGTGCCTCGGCAACCTCACCGGACTCACCGTATTGTGCGCCCATTCTCCTCCGTCACTAACCTTCCCTTCTCTCTCATATCAGCATAGTCTGCCGAAGCAAATGGGGCTTTGCACTGCTCTGCCCCCATGCATCCTCCACTTCGGCTTTCCACCTTCCAATCCCTCCCTGCGTCTAAGTCATAATTTTGCACCCTGCCTTTCACCTCCAATGCCTACTCTTCCCCTCTATAAGTAGATAAAAGTGAAATGTTTTCATGTTACTCTAAGCTTGAGATTTAGTTTTCTGAACTGACACTTTGATAAAATCGATCCTGCTCCCCACCCTTTTCCTTTCCGCCCTCCCCCAATTTCTCCACGCTCCAGGAATCTTCGCAAATGCGGTCTCTCAAGCTCCATTCCAGAGGCAATCAGCAGCTTCAAGCAACTGCGAGAGTTGTGCGTAGTGATGGGGTAGGCATGCAAGGTGCTGTGGAGTGGAGTGGAGTGGAGTGGAGTGGAGTGGAGTGGAGTGGAGTGGAGTGGAGTGGAGTGGATTGGAGTGGAGTGGAGTGGAGTGGAGTGGAGTGGAGTGGAGTGGATTGGATTGGAGTGGAGTGGAGTGGAGTGGAGTGGAGTGGAGTGGAGTGGAGTGGAGTGGAGTGGAGTGGAGTGGAGTGGAGTGGAGTGGAGTGGAGTGGAGTGGAGTGGAGTGGATTGGAGTGGAGTGGAGTGGAGTGGAGTGGAGTGGAGTGGAGTGGAGTGGAGTGGAGTGGAGTGGAGTGGAGTGGAGTGGAGTGGATTGGATTGAAGTGGAGTGGAGTGGAGTGGAGTGGAGTGGAGTGGAGTGGAGTGGAGTGGAGTGGAGTGGAGTGGAGTGGAGTGGAGTGGAGTGGAGTGGAGTGGAGGCTGAGGATGGGTGGAACTCGCTGAACGGAGCTTGAGCTGGGTGGATTAGGTTTACCAGGTTGGTTGGAATCGTGAAGTAGGTTTTGGAGCTGGAGGTGATCCTGATTAGATCGCGAATGAGTTCCCAAGGATGGGCAGGGAAGGGAAGTCGATGACAATGTGCAATGAGATGAGACCTGTTGAAACCTCCAGTAGTGGGTTGGAGATTTCAGAGGATAGGGTTTGGTCGCGTTTGGGTCAGGTCAGGATATTAGTCTAGCACCCAACCCACGACAAGCAAAAAAAATAAAAAGAGAGGGGGGGGGGGGGGGGGGGGAGGGGATGGGGGGGAAGGGGAGCGGAGCGAAAGGGCTAAGCGTCCATATAGGCTGGGCGTCCATATAGGCTGGGCGTCCATATAGGCTGGGCGTCCATATAGGCTGGGCGTCCATATAGGCTGGGCGTCCATATGGGCTGGTGGGCGTCCATATGGGCTGGTGGGCGTCCATATGGGCTGGTGGGCGTCCATATGGGCTGGTGGGCGTCCATATGGGCTAGTAGCCAAGGCAATCTGTGTGCGTGGAGTCTCTTCATCCGACAATGAGTGAGTGATTCGGATTCCAGCACCAGTTTCTTGATCCTTGTTTCGAAATATCCAGTAATTTCTTTTCATGGTGAGCCACTGCTCTTGAGTCGAGTCAAAAGCATACTGCACATGCTGCAGCACATGCTCTAGCTTGTTTGTGCCACCCCATCTTTTCCCATCTTATCCCGTCCCATCCCATCCCATCCTATCCATTCCACGCCAGGGACCTACAGGCCAACAGCCTGAGTGGCACCATTCCCGCCTTCATTGGCAACCTGACCGCACTTCTCAACCTGTGCGCCCATCCTTACGTCGCCTGAACCTTCCCTTCTGCCCGCTGTCAGCAAAATTGTACTGTAAGAGTAAAAAAAATTCTAGTCAGCTGATAATAACCCCCAAATGATCTCCATGCACGGGCATGCTGAAAATGATCCCCCCAGGAAACTCAACGACAACGCTTTCTCAGGCTCCATTCCGGGGACAATCGGTAACCTCATTCAGTTGTCCGAGTTGTGAGTGGTTATGGGGAAGGGATGCAGGGTTATGGGGAAGGGATGCAGGGTTATGGGGAAGGGATGCAGGGTTATGGGGAAGGGATCAGGCATGTTTGTCTTCAGTGAGTAAAAGGGTGGGAGAGTGAGAGGACGAGAGATAAAGAGAGTGGGTGATGTTAGAGTTAACCTTGAGTCTCAGCTTTGTATCTGTACCCTTTTATATTCTATTTCAGTGTAGTTTATATAACAAAATCTCCAACCCACCAATTCGGGATTCGAGGCGATCTTATTGGGGATTGCCTCTGGTTCCTTACCCATCCATTCTTGCTAATTTCTGATGGGGTTAAGAGCTTTAAGCTCATTACATGAATGTTTTGACTCTACCTTCAGTACTTACATGGTATCAGAGCTACTCAACCACACATGCGCATCCTGATCCTCATCTTATTGCGGTAGCTGCCTACACGGTTCCTAGTGAAGGTTTTCGACTTCTGTCATGTGCCAGCCACTGCTTTTTGTTTGGCCGGAATGTTTTCACGCCAATCTTCTAACCGTCAATTTCCGACGGTCTTATCCCATCTCATCCCATCCCATCCCATCCCATCCCATCCCATCCCATCCCATCCCATTCCATCCCATCCCATCCCATCCCATCCCATCCCATCCCATCCCATCCCATCCCATCCCATCCCATCCCATCCCATCCCATCCCATCCCATCCCATCCCATCCCATTCCATCCCATCCCATTCTATCCCATCCCATCCCATCCCATCCCATCCCATCCCATCCCATCCCATCACATGCCATGGCAGGGACCTACAGGGCAACAGCCTGAGTGGCACCATTCCCGCCTTCATTGGCCGCCTCACCGAACTTCGCATCCTGTGCGCCCATCCTTATGTCGCCTGAACCTTCCCTTCTGCCCGCTGCCCGCAAAATTGTACCGTAAGAGTAAACAAATTTATAGTTAGCTAATAATAACCCCCAAATGATCTCCATGCACGGGCATGCTGAAAATATTTCCCCCAGGAAACTCAACGACAACGCTTTCTCAGGCTCCATTCCGGGGACAATCGGTAACCTCATTCAGTTGTCCGAGTTGTGAGTGGTTATGGGAAGGCATGCAAGGTGCTGTGGGATGATCAGCAATGTTTGTCTTCAGTGAGTAAAAGGGTGGGAGAGTGAGAGGACGAGAAATAAAGAGAGTGGGTGATGTTAGAGTTAACCTTGAGTCTCAGCTTTGTATTTGTACTTTTTTTGTATTCCGTTTCAGTGTAGTTGTAGTTTTTCAGTGTTGAATGCTACATCAACATCCCAACCTTACCCAGGTGTGATATAACGAAATCTCCAACCCACCAATTCGAGATTCCAGGCGATCTGATTGGGGATTGCCGCTGATTCCCTACCCATCTATTCTTGCCAATTTCCAATGTGCTTAGGAGCGTTGAGCTACTTAGAATTTTTTTTTTACTCTACCTTCAGTTCTTACATGGTATCAGAGCTACTCTACCACACATGCGGATCCTGATCCTCATCTTATCGCGGTAGCTGTCTAAACGGCCCCCAGTGAAGGTTATCGACTTCTGTCACGTGCCAGCCACTGCTTTCTGTTTGGCCGGAAAATTTCACACAGAAAGACAGAATTTCAACACAGAAAGACAGAATTTTAACACAGAAAGTGGAATCAACGGCTCAAAATTCCATCTCACACAGCATAGACAGAAAAAACCATCTCCTTTCTTATCACCCCCTCTTTCCATTCACTCTCTCTTTCACGTCACTCTCGTTCCCAGCCTCTCCCCTTCCCTCCCAATCTTCCCCTCCCACCTTCGCGTGGCATCACAGAGACTTTGAGGGCAACCAGTTTACGGGAGAGTTGCCCTCGTTCGACCACATGGGCCGTCTCAACATATTTCCAAGGAGCTTCAGCGACCTCACAGCCACCGAAAGCCGTCTCCCCCTCAATGCTACCGGTGGAGACGAACCTTTACAGCACCGCAGCTTGTGTATGTTCCTTTTCAACCATACGCCCGTCCCAAAGCTGCATCTTGTCTTTCTTGTCTTTCCTCTGGTGCTTTCTTCTTCTGTTCTTTATCACACGATAAGGCCGTTCTATCTGCATATTGTCCCTCCTGTCCTCCAAAGCCTCCTTGATGCCCGCTTGCTCTCCACCAATACCCAGCACTCATTCTCCAATATGCTGCTTCTTTACATGCGTCGCCTCCTCCCACCCTCCCTCTGTCTTCTCATCCACCGTGCATCCACCAACCCACCATGTGAACCACCAGACACTGCAGTGGTGGAGGAGGCTCTCTCCGTTCTCCAGGCACCTCCAAACCTGCTGCTGCTGCAGCTGCTTCCACTGGCAGTGCTGCTGCAGCTGGCGTTGGCGTTGTCACTGGCCATTCTGAGGCGCCTCAAGAATCGACCCCCCACACGCTACTTCTTTTCAAGAAGAGCCCTTGCTGCCCGGCAAGCTGCCATGGATGTGGAGATCACTTGAAGACATGCACCTTCAAATTTGTATCGGCATGATATCATAAGTACGGTATTGTTGTATATTCGATATTTATGCTCCATTGTGTTTGTTTCCTACATAACACAACATAAAGCATGGCTTCTTTCGTCCATATACCGATCCCAACATTGCATGTCCCAGAACTTACTTTCAACGTTCGCGCTTGATGCTGTTTCTCTAAGTATGATAAGTTGCGTAACTCTATTAATTCTTCACACATGATGCAAATACATTTTCCGTAATGACCCTCACCCACATAGCTAATTTGGCTTAATGGACGAACATGTTGAAGTGTTTCGAAATACAGACACAACCTATGTCTGGCGTTTCACTGTAGCGCGTTAAACTCTGCACCATACACACCAACAACCACACTGGTCAGCCCCAGTCTTCAAATTCAGCGGGACTTGGATTCTAAGAACGCCGACGATAGTGTGCGGTTTGGAGCTGTTTGCACATATCCAAATGTATACAAAAGCTTTTAAGTGGTAGGTGAACAAGCCATTACCTTGCGCGAGCTATTCCAAGCTTGTTATTCTCCCACACCCCTCCTCACACTCCCCGTTGACTGCGTGTTCGAGACGAAGGCAAAGACGAGAATCATTCGCTCAATATCAGTATTTCGCTCTACCAGTCGCCTCGCCTTGCGGTTGAATCAGTGAACGAGATTTACAATCTTGCAGTCACAGTTGATCCTATCAACGCGCACACGCGGCAACGGCTCACGAGCACGCCAACAGCAACGAAGCTCCATCGTACGGCTCACGCGCGTTTGGGCAACCGTGCCGCGTGCAGGGCGTTCGGGCAAGTCCGACACGCTCCCCGGCCGCGGGGGTGTTCGGGCGTCGGCTCGAGCACACAGGCAGCGCGCGCGGAGAGCATCGATGGGGCCGCGTTGCGCCGCGGCGACGGGGAGGCGCGGCGACGTGCTGATGGCGGCGAGAGCGGCGGTCGTGGCGCTGGTGGTGGCGCGCTGCTGCATGCCCCTCGCACGCGCTGCTCGCGTCGTGGACGCCGAGAGTAAGCGTGATGCACGTTATTGATTCCCTCCACATCCTCCTTTTGACAGCCAGAGGTCCCTGGCAGTAAACAGCCGTGCCATGTGCCATACCGCCCCAGGACCGTAACCCTATTCAGCATGTCATAACATGAAGTCCGTTCCGGCAACTAACCATCACTGCTGTAAAGGGAGTCCCTTTACCCTCTCTCTGGTCAAATCGCCTCTTCCCTGGAAATAACCCCAACACGTTCTGTGGCATGGCATGCTGCATTGCCGGGGTTGTATGGCATGGATGCGTGGCATGATTGGATGACAGTTGAAGCTTTGAAGAATCTGGCACAAGAATGGAACAAGGTCCATGGTAGGGACACATGGATGAAGGGCAAGGATTGCGACAACATGGATTCCGTGGAGTGTGATGGTGATGGGCATGTCATTGCACTGTAAGCATGTCATTGCACTGTAAGCATGTCATTGCACTGTAAGCATGTCATTGCACTGTAAGCATGTCATTGCACTGTAAGAATGGCATTGCACTATAAGCATTGCATTGCACTGTAAGCATGTCATTGCACTGTAAGCATGTCATTGCACTGTAAGCATGTCACTGCGCTGTAAGCATGTCATTGCATTGTAAGCATGTCATTGCACTGTAAGCATATCATTGCACTGTAAGCATGTCATTGCACTGAAAGCATGTCATTGCACTGTAAGCATGTCATTGCAGTGAAAGCATGTCATTGCACTGTAAGCATGTCATTGCACTGTAAGCATGTCATTGCACTGTAAGCATGTCATTGCACTGTAAGCATGACATTGCACTGTAAGCGTGTCATTGCACTGTAAGCGTGTCATTGCACTGTAAGCGTGTCATTGCACTGTAAGCGTGTCATTGCACTGTAAGCATGTCATTGCACTGTAAGCATGTCATTGCACTGTAAGCATGTCCCTGCGCTGTAAGCATGTCATTGCACTGTAAGCATGTCATTGCACCGTAAGCATGTCATTGCATTGAAAGCATGTCATTGCACTGAAAGCATGTCATTGCACTGTAAGCATGTCATTGCAGTGAAAGCATGTCATTGCGCTGTAAGCATGTCATTGCACTGTAAGCATGTCATTGCACTGTAAGCATGTCATTGCACTGTAAGCATGTCATTGCACTATAAGCGTGTCATTGCACTGTAAGTGTGTCAGTGCACTGTAAGCGTGTCATTGCACTGTAAGCGTGTCAATGCTCTGTAAGCATGTCATTGCACTGGAAGCATGTCATTGCACTATAAGCATGTCATTGCACTGTAAGCATGTCACTGCGCTGTAAGCATGTCATTGCATTGTAAGCATGTCATTACACTGTAAGCATGTCATTGCACTGTAAGCATGTCATTGCACTGAAAGCATGTCATTGCACTGTAAGCATGTCATTGTAGTGAAAGCATGTCATTGCACTGTAAGCATGGCATTGCACTGTAAGCATGTCATTGCACTGTAAGCATGTCATTGCACTGTAAGCGTGTCATTGCAGTGTAAGCGTGTCATTGCATTGTAAGCGTGTCATTGCACTCTAAGCGTGTCATTGCACTGTAAGCGTGTCATTGCACTGCAAGCATGTCATTGCACTGAAAGCATGTCATTGCACTGTAAGCGTGTCATTGCATTGGAAGCATGTCATTGCACTGTAAGCATGTCATTGCACTGTAAGCATGTCACTGCGCTGTAAGCATGTCATTGCACTGTAAGCATGTCATTGCACTGTAAGCATGTCATTGCACTGTAAGCATGTCATTGCACTGAAAGCATGTCATTGCACTGTAAGCATGTCATTGCACTGTAAGCATGTCATTGCATTGTAAGCATGTAATTGCACTGTAAGCATGTCATTGCACTGTAAGCATGTCATTGCACTGTAAGCATGTCATTGCACTGTAAGCGTGTCACTGCGCAGTAAGCATGTCCATTTAGCTCCTCACACCCCATCTGGCCCCTCACACCCCATTGCCATGATCTCTTTGCTCCCACCTGCTTCGCCTACTGCTCCCCACTCCATTGCATCTCCTGCCCCTTGTTTCTTTCCTTCGGCCTCTGGTCAACCTTCTTCTCTCCCCCGCACCATCCTCCGATGATGCAAACCCACCACCTGCTTGGTGCATGGATGGATGCAAGCAGGAGTTTTTTGGCAAACGATCTACTGGAGTCACTACCAGAGCAGCTCTCCCAGCTGCAGAAGCAGCAGTCTCTGTAAGGCCGGGTGAGGGGCATGTGATGGTATGTGATGGCATGTGATGGCATGTGATGGCATTTGATGGCATGTGATGGCATGTGATGGCATGTGATGGCATTGGATGGCATGGGATGACATGGGATGGCATGGGATGGCATGGGATGGCATGGGATGGCATGGGATGGCATGGGATGGCATGGGATGGCATGGGATGGCATGGGATGGCATGGGATGGCATGGGATGGCATGGGATGGCATGGGATGGCATGGGATGGCATGTGATGGCATGTGATGGCATGTGATGGCATGTGATGGCACCCGGATGCTCTAAGCCATCCTCCCTCCATTTTTTTTCCATGCTGCCTCCTTTTCTTATGCTGCCTCCTTTTCCGATGCTGCCTCCTTTTCCCATGCTGCCTCCTTTTCCCATGCTGCCTCCTTTTCCCATGCTCCCTCGCTTCTTCTGTTGCATCATCAGGGAGTTGTCGTGGAATCGTCAACTATCTGGGGAGCTGGCTACGTGGATCTTCAGCCTCACAGACTTGACTTCACTGTGCGTGCTGCCATGCACCATCTGCCATGCACCATCTGCCATGCACCATCTGCCATGCCATACCATTCACCTCGTTACATCATTTCCCATTTACATCGTACCCTTATGACCTTTTTCTTTATCTCAACTTCCTTTCCGATAATCTCACTATACTCCAGAGTACCATACTAGTTCGCTTGCTTTCACGACTCTGCACTGTTTCTACTCTCTCACTGTTCGCCCAATCCTCTCCGTCCACCAGGGATATTCAGGGCAACAACTTTTCAGGCTCCGTTCCAGAGGTAATCAGCAGCCTCAAGCAGTTGCGGAAGCTGTGAGTGGTGATGGGGTAGGCATGCAAGGTGCTGTGGGATGATCAGGTGTGGTAGATCAGTGATTGCTGGTGTGAATGAGTGAGTGAATGTCTGAGAGTGAGTGAGTGAGAGAATGAGAGAGAGAATGAGTGCAAAATGATAGTTCTGCCCTGCAGAGTGAATGGTTCAATGTTTCCCTATCAGCAACAAAGCACGAAGCAGTGCAGACACATGCACTGCACATGCACTGCAGGTGCATGTGAGGCACGATGCTTTATCAACCTTCCAACACCCAACGTTCACCACTCCCCTCCACTGCCCTCTCTATGTTTCATCCCCCGTTATCTCCTCGCCTTCATGCTCCACCAAAGAAAACTGCACCCCACTGGATCTCTCTGTGCCACACTTCACCCCACCCTTTTCCTTTCCGCCCTCCCCCCAACATCTCCATTTCCAGAAATCTTCGCGATAGCAGACTTTCGGGCTCCATTCCAGAGGCAATCAGCAGCCTCAAGCAGTTGCGGAAGCTGTGAGTGGTGATGGGGTAGGCATGCAAGGTGCTGTGGGATGATCAGGTGTGGTAGATCAGTGATTGCTGGTGTGAATGAGAGTGAATGTCTGAGCGTGAGTGAGTGAGAGAATGAGTGCAAAATGATGGTTCCGCCCTGCAGGTTGAATATGTTTTCCTATCAGCAACAATGCACGAAGCAGTGCAGACACATGCACTGCACATGCACTGCCGGTGGGTGTGAGACACATTATGCTCGTCCGCCGCAAAGCAGTAAGAAGCTCAGTCTTCACAGTAGGGCAGCTCTGAGTTTGTCACTGTTAGTCAACTGAAAGTATATATTTATTTATGTATGTGTATGTATATATATTATATATATGAACTAGTTCTGAGAGAGAGTGCGTTTGACTATGATAAGGACCGAGAGTTGGTTGGACGGGTTGAGATAGGCGAGAAGGTAGGGCTTTGTGGAGTGTGAGAGGCGAGAGGGGAAGGTGTATGGGCTGGGAGAGGTGTAATCGGAAGGCCGTGTGAGTTTCAAGCGGCGAGGAGGACATGGGTATGCCGCAAGTGGCGAGAGGAGGAGTTGGATAAACTGCAAGTGGCGAGAGGAGGAGTTGGTTGAGACGGGCGATGGGAGGGACAGGGGAGGTTTTGGCTGTGAGATGTGAGAGGAAAAGGGGAAGGCTTGGGCTGTGAGTGCCGATGGAAATGGAGGGAGGCGTGGGGAAGAGAGTGTGGGGTTGGGTTGAAGGTTGTTCAGCTTGATATGAAGGAGAGTCAGTCACACTGATTATTAGGGTTAAAATATTATGCACTCATTATCATTATATTGATTAAAAATATTTAAACAATCAGACTTGACTAATCGAGAATTCTAAAAAGCCTTGATTGGAGGATTAATATTCTGAAACTTCAGACTCTTACATCAATAGAATCTGCCCCTCTCCCCACCCTTTTCCTTTCCGCCCTCCCCCCAACCTCTCCATTTCCAGAAATCTTCGCAATTGCGGACTTTCAGGCTCCATTCCAGAGGCAATCAGCAGCCTCAAGCAGCTGGTGGAGTTGTGAGTGGTGATGGGGGTGGGCATGCAAGGTGCTGTAGGATGGAGTGGAGTGGAGTGGGGTGGAGTGGAGTGGAGTCGAGTGGATTGAGTCAATGGGATGGCACGCTAGGTTCCTGCTGAGGGAGTAAACGGGTGGGGGAAAGTAAGAGGCTGAAAGAGAGGTTGGGTGGAACCATCTTGAAAGGAGCTTGAGATAGATAGAGTGAGTAGAGTAGGTTTACCGGGTTGGAGTGGAGTTGTGAACGGAAGTAGGCTGTGGAGCTCGAGGCTCGAAGCTAGCACTTCTAAGTGGATCACAAATCAGTTGGGAAGGATGGGTACAGAAGGGAATCCGATGACATAATACTATGCGATCAGTTGAAACCTCCAATTGGTGGGTTGAAGGTTTCAAAATGTACAGTTCAATCTCGTTTGGGTGAGGTTTGGGTGATGGGTTGCGTGAGTGAGGTGGGGTGCAGGAATCCAAGGAATAAGTGAGTGGATGAGTGAGTGCAGGAGCGAGTGGTCGTCCTGGCTAGTGGCTAGCCAGGACGACCTATGTGCGTGGAGTCTCTTCATCCGACAATGAGCGAGTGATTCGGATTCCAACACCACTCTCTTAATCCGTGTTTCTTCTATCCATTACTTTGTTTCCACGGTGAGTCACTGAGCATACTGCCGCTCATGGTGTAGCTTGTTTGTGCCATCCCATCCCATCCCATCCCATCCCATCCCATCCCATCCCATCCCATCCCATCCCATCCCATCCCATCCCATCCCATCCCATCACATCCCGCCCCATCACATGCCATGGCAGGGACCTACAGGGCAACAGCCTGAGTGGCACCATTCCCGCCTCCATTGGCCACCTCACCGAACTTCACTTCCTGTGCGCCCATCCTTACGTCACCTTAACCTTCCCTTCTATCCGTTGACAGAAAGTTTTGAAGAGTACAAAACTTCCAGTCACCTGTAAAGTCTCTACCTTCCCCTCCTTCCCCCCCCCACCCCCCCCCCAAATGCTTTCCATGCACCAGGAGACTCAACGACAACGGTTTCTCAGGCTCCATTCCCGGGACAATCAGCAGCCTCAATCAGTTGTGGGAGTTGTGAGTCGTTATGGGAAGGCTTGCGGGGTGCTGTGGGATGATCAGGCATGATGCTATTGAGTGAGTAAATGGGTGGGAGAGTGAGCCTTTGATCTCGACTTTGTATTTGTTTAATTCATTGTAGTTGTAATGTTTCTGGGTTGGGCGTTACATCAACATCCCAACCTTACCCAGGCGTCAAACAATCTCTGGGTACGTTCCTGGCTCGTGTCAAGCTTCGGGCCGTCCTAGGAAGACTCGAAGCTTTGGGTTAAACTTCTGATCAAACATTTTGCCTTTTGGAAACAGGGGCAGTTTTTTGCCGAAAGACCCGAAGTTGGGTTTTTTAAATAACCCAAAGTGGACCCAACTTTTGGTGATCTCATTCGGGATTGCCTCTGATTCCCTGCCCATCCGTTCTTGTTCGTGTTTTTATGATGTGCTTGAGCGTTGAGCTTATCACGAAATGTATCCACTCTACCTCCAGTTCTTATACGCGATTAAGGAAGTGAAATATGTGAGTGAGTGTCCTGTGAGTTATTGCCCTAGCCGTCCATCTCACACCATCTCATCCCATCCGATCTCATCCCATCCCATCCCATCCCATCCCATCCCATCCCATCCCATCCCATCCCATCCCATCTCATCCCATCCCATCCCATCCCATCCCATCCCATCCCATCCCATCCCATCCCATCCCATCCCATCCCATCCCATCTCATGCCATGGCATGGCAGGAGCCTCCAGAGCAACAACCTGAGTGGTACCATTCCCGCCTCGATTGGCCACCTCACAGGACTCGACTTCCTGTGCGCCTGTTCTCCCTCCAACCTGTCAGAATATTATTCTTATGTTCTAGCCTATAGTGGGGTGCTCTATAGCGAGTACAACCCTTCTAGGGTTTGCTATTTGTATCCCCATTTCTGCTAGTTCATTTCTCTTTCTTCTTCTAACTTTTGTCATGCTATCAGAGCAGGTCGATCCCCTTGGATCGATCCTGTGGGTGGGTTACCACCTCGCTTCCGCTGCTACTTCTTCCTCCCGCCGTGCGCCCTGAGGCGCGCGGCGGTTTTCTGCCCGCCGTGCGCCCCGAGGCGCGCGGCGGTTCTTTGCCCGCTGTGCGCCCCGAGGCGCGCGGCGGGCTTCTGCCCTACGTCGCGGCCCCGCCCTGCGTCGCGGCCCAGCCCCTCGAAGCGGCCCCGACCGTCGCGGCCCCGCCCCTCGACGCGGCCCCGCCCTACGTCGCGGCCCCGCCCTGCGTCGCGGCCCCGCCCCTCGAAGCGGCCCCGCCCTATGTCACGGCCCCGCCCCGACCGTCGCGGCCCCGCCCCTCGACGCGGCCCCGCCCTACGTCGCGGCCCCGCCCTGCGTCGCGGCCCCGCCCCTCGAAGCGGCCCCGCTCTACGTCGCGGCCCCGCCCCTCGTCGCGGCCCCGCCCCGACCGTCGCGGTCCCGCCCCTTGTCGCGGCCCCGCCCTCCAACCAGGCCCGTGGTGGGCCCCTTTCACCACACCGCCCCCCCCCCCCCCCCCCCCCCCCCTTCCCCCTGCCATTTCCCGTCGTCCGTCGAGGCGACCTGAGGGGCGAGCTGTGGGGTGGCGGGTATGGGGGTGGCCGGTGTGCCTTTCTCCCTTGCTCCTCCTCCTCCTTCGTCTCCCACTGCTGCAGCTGTCGCTGAGGGGGGTGGTTGTGTGGGAGACTGGGGTTTAGGGTTTAAGGGGGGTGCGTGGGAGTAGAGCTAGCGGTGTAGCAGTGGGTGTGTATCAGGGGGGTGGGACTGTTTGCGGGAGGTTGAGCGGAGGCTGCCGGCTTGTCGTCCGCAGCATCTGTAGTCCGGGGCGCTGTCCCGGTAGCCCAGTCGTAGCCAGCTGTGCCAGCCGCCCGTGGGTCCGTTGCCCGTCCGCCGCTATTTGAGCCGCGGGGCCTGTTACTCCTGTAGTCCGGGCGCTGTCCGGTAGCCGCTGTGCCAGTCTGCCTCCTGTTGCCCGTGTGTCTGCAGCTTCAGCCGTCGCCTCCTGTCTCCTCTCCCCTCACTCTTCCTCCTCCTCCTCACTTGCCCGTTGTGACTACCACTAGCTTTGCTTATAATTGTGAACCCTAAACTATTTCTTCTTGAACTTGTGCTCAGAATGTGTGGTGACATTGTGATCCACCTTGAGCTTGTTTTGCTTTGCCTGCTCTGCTGATTACACCCCACTTTGGCTATGGGGGTGTGTCAGAATATTATTCTTATGTTCTAGCCTGTAGTGGGGTGCTCTATAGCGAGTACAACCCTTCTAGGGTTTGCTATTTGTATCCCCATTTCTGCTAGTTCATTTCTCTTTCTTCTTCTAACTTTTGTCACAACCCCCCTCTCCATTCTGTCTTTCCACCTCGCTCTCTCTGCCAAGCATGGGGGATTTGAGAGGGTGGTGATCCCGCCTGGTGGTGTGGAGTGGATGTGTTTGTCTGAAAGCGAACTCCTTTCAGCTACAGCACTCACACTCTTCCACAGCGTCATCTCTGCCTTCTTCTCCTCTCCTCTGTGCTTCTACCTCCTTCTTCTCTCCTCTACTGTCTCCCTTCCCTCCTCTCTCTCATCCTCTCCACCTCTCTCTTCTTCTCCTCTCCTGCTCTGGTTCTCTTCAATGAGTGGGAACGGAGCTTCAGCGGCCTCGCAGCCACCGGTGGAGACGAACGGAGCTTCAGCGGCCTCGCAGCCACCGGTGGAGACGAACGGAGCTTCAGCGGCCTCGCAGCCACCGGTGGAGACGAACGGAGCTTCAGCGGCCTCGCAGCCACCGGTGGAGACGAACGGAGCTTCAGCGGCCTCGCAGCCACCGGTGGAGACGAACGGAGCTTCAGCGGCCTCGCAGCCACCGGTGGAGACGAACGGAGCTTCAGCGGCCTCGCAGCCACCGGTGGAGACGAACGGAGCTTCAGCGGCCTCGCAGCCACCGGTGGAGACGAACGGAGCTTCAGCGGCCTCGCAGCCACCGGTGGAGACGAACGGAGCTTCAGCGGCCTCGCAGCCACCGGTGGAGACGAACGGAGCTTCAGCGGCCTCGCAGCCACCGGTGGAGACGAACGGAGCTTCAGCGGCCTCGCAGCCACCGGTGGAGACGAACGGAGCTTCAGCGGCCTCGCAGCCACCGGTGGAGACGAACGGAGCTTCAGCGGCCTCGCAGCCACCGGTGGAGACGAACGGAGCTTCAGCGGCCTCGCAGCCACCGGTGGAGACGAACGGAGCTTCAGCGGCCTCGCAGCCACCGGTGGAGACGAACGGAGCTTCAGCGGCCTCGCAGCCACCGGTGGAGACGAACGGAGCTTCAGCGGCCTCGCAGCCACCGGTGGAGACGAACGGAGCTTCAGCGGCCTCGCAGCCACCGGTGGAGACGAACGGAGCTTCAGCGGCCTCGCAGCCACCGGTGGAGACGAACGGAGCTTCAGCGGCCTCGCAGCCACCGGTGGAGACGAACGGAGCTTCAGCGGCCTCGCAGCCACCGGTGGAGACGAACGGAGCTTCAGCGGCCTCGCAGCCACCGGTGGAGACGAACGGAGCTTCAGCGGCCTCGCAGCCACCGGTGGAGACGAACGGAGCTTCAGCGGCCTCGCAGCCACCGGTGGAGACGAACGGAGCTTCAGCGGCCTCGCAGCCACCGGTGGAGACGAACGGAGCTTCAGCGGCCTCGCAGCCACCGGTGGAGACGAACGGAGCTTCAGCGGCCTCGCAGCCACCGGTGGAGACGAACGGAGCTTCAGCGGCCTCGCAGCCACCGGTGGAGACGAACGGAGCTTCAGCGGCCTCGCAGCCACCGGTGGAGACGAAGCCCGGAGCTTCAGCGGCCTCGCAGCCACCGGTGGAGACGAACGGAGCTTCAGCGGCCTCGCAGCCACCGGTGGAGACGAACGGAGCTTCAGCGGCCTCGCAGCCACCGGTGGAGACGAACGGAGCTTCAGCGGCCTCGCAGCCACCGGTGGAGACGAACGGAGCTTCAGCGGCCTCGCAGCCACCGGTGGAGACGAACGGAGCTTCAGCGGCCTCGCAGCCACCGGTGGAGACGAACGGAGCTTCAGCGGCCTCGCAGCCACCGGTGGAGACGAACGGAGCTTCAGCGGCCTCGCAGCCACCGGTGGAGACGAACGGAGCTTCAGCGGCCTCGCAGCCACCGGTGGAGACGAACGGAGCTTCAGCGGCCTCGCAGCCACCGGTGGAGACGAACGGAGCTTCAGCGGCCTCGCAGCCACCGGTGGAGACGAACGGAGCTTCAGCGGCCTCGCAGCCACCGGTGGAGACGAACGGAGCTTCAGCGGCCTCGCAGCCACCGGTGGAGACGAACGGAGCTTCAGCGGCCTCGCAGCCACCGGTGGAGACGAACGGAGCTTCAGCGGCCTCGCAGCCACCGGTGGAGACGAACGGAGCTTCAGCGGCCTCGCAGCCACCGGTGGAGACGAACGGAGCTTCAGCGGCCTCGCAGCCACCGGTGGAGACGAACGGAGCTTCAGCGGCCTCGCAGCCACCGGTGGAGACGAACGGAGCTTCAGCGGCCTCGCAGCCACCGGTGGAGACGAACGGAGCTTCAGCGGCCTCGCAGCCACCGGTGGAGACGAACGGAGCTTCAGCGGCCTCGCAGCCACCGGTGGAGACGAACGGAGCTTCAGCGGCCTCGCAGCCACCGGTGGAGACGAACGGAGCTTCAGCGGCCTCGCAGCCACCGGTGGAGACGAACGGAGCTTCAGCGGCCTCGCAGCCACCGGTGGAGACGAACGGAGCTTCAGCGGCCTCGCAGCCACCGGTGGAGACGAACGGAGCTTCAGCGGCCTCGCAGCCACCGGTGGAGACGAACGGAGCTTCAGCGGCCTCGCAGCCACCGGTGGAGACGAACGGAGCTTCAGCGGCCTCGCAGCCACCGGTGGAGACGAACGGAGCTTCAGCGGCCTCGCAGCCACCGGTGGAGACGAACGGAGCTTCAGCGGCCTCGCAGCCACCGGTGGAGACGAACGGAGCTTCAGCGGCCTCGCAGCCACCGGTGGAGACGAACGGAGCTTCAGCGGCCTCGCAGCCACCGGTGGAGACGAACGGAGCTTCAGCGGCCTCGCAGCCACCGGTGGAGACGAACGGAGCTTCAGCGGCCTCGCAGCCACCGGTGGAGACGAACGGAGCTTCAGCGGCCTCGCAGCCACCGGTGGAGACGAACGGAGCTTCAGCGGCCTCGCAGCCACCGGTGGAGACGAACGGAGCTTCAGCGGCCTCGCAGCCACCGGTGGAGACGAACGGAGCTTCAGCGGCCTCGCAGCCACCGGTGGAGACGAACGGAGCTTCAGCGGCCTCGCAGCCACCGGTGGAGACGAACGGAGCTTCAGCGGCCTCGCAGCCACCGGTGGAGACGAACGGAGCTTCAGCGGCCTCGCAGCCACCGGTGGAGACGAACGGAGCTTCAGCGGCCTCGCAGCCACCGGTGGAGACGAACGGAGCTTCAGCGGCCTCGCAGCCACCGGTGGAGACGAACGGAGCTTCAGCGGCCTCGCAGCCACCGGTGGAGACGAACGGAGCTTCAGCGGCCTCGCAGCCACCGGTGGAGACGAACGGAGCTTCAGCGGCCTCGCAGCCACCGGTGGAGACGAACGGAGCTTCAGCGGCCTCGCAGCCACCGGTGGAGACGAACGGAGCTTCAGCGGCCTCGCAGCCACCGGTGGAGACGAACGGAGCTTCAGCGGCCTCGCAGCCACCGGTGGAGACGAACGGAGCTTCAGCGGCCTCGCAGCCACCGGTGGAGACGAACGGAGCTTCAGCGGCCTCGCAGCCACCGGTGGAGACGAACGGAGCTTCAGCGGCCTCGCAGCCACCGGTGGAGACGAACGGAGCTTCAGCGGCCTCGCAGCCACCGGTGGAGACGAACGGAGCTTCAGCGGCCTCGCAGCCACCGGTGGAGACGAACGGAGCTTCAGCGGCCTCGCAGCCACCGGTGGAGACGAACGGAGCTTCAGCGGCCTCGCAGCCACCGGTGGAGACGAACGGAGCTTCAGCGGCCTCGCAGCCACCGGTGGAGACGAACGGAGCTTCAGCGGCCTCGCAGCCACCGGTGGAGACGAACGGAGCTTCAGCGGCCTCGCAGCCACCGGTGGAGACGAACGGAGCTTCAGCGGCCTCGCAGCCACCGGTGGAGACGAACGGAGCTTCAGCGGCCTCGCAGCCACCGGTGGAGACGAACGGAGCTTCAGCGGCCTCGCAGCCACCGGTGGAGACGAACGGAGCTTCAGCGGCCTCGCAGCCACCGGTGGAGACGAACGGAGCTTCAGCGGCCTCGCAGCCACCGGTGGAGACGAACGGAGCTTCAGCGGCCTCGCAGCCACCGGTGGAGACGAACGGAGCTTCAGCGGCCTCGCAGCCACCGGTGGAGACGAACGGAGCTTCAGCGGCCTCGCAGCCACCGGTGGAGACGAACGGAGCTTCAGCGGCCTCGCAGCCACCGGTGGAGACGAACGGAGCTTCAGCGGCCTCGCAGCCACCGGTGGAGACGAACGGAGCTTCAGCGGCCTCGCAGCCACCGGTGGAGACGAACGGAGCTTCAGCGGCCTCGCAGCCACCGGTGGAGACGAACGGAGCTTCAGCGGCCTCGCAGCCACCGGTGGAGACGAACGGAGCTTCAGCGGCCTCGCAGCCACCGGTGGAGACGAACGGAGCTTCAGCGGCCTCGCAGCCACCGGTGGAGACGAACGGAGCTTCAGCGGCCTCGCAGCCACCGGTGGAGACGAACGGAGCTTCAGCGGCCTCGCAGCCACCGGTGGAGACGAACGGAGCTTCAGCGGCCTCGCAGCCACCGGTGGAGACGAACGGAGCTTCAGCGGCCTCGCAGCCACCGGTGGAGACGAACGGAGCTTCAGCGGCCTCGCAGCCACCGGTGGAGACGAACGGAGCTTCAGCGGCCTCGCAGCCACCGGTGGAGACGAACGGAGCTTCAGCGGCCTCGCAGCCACCGGTGGAGACGAACGGAGCTTCAGCGGCCTCGCAGCCACCGGTGGAGACGAACGGAGCTTCAGCGGCCTCGCAGCCACCGGTGGAGACGAACGGAGCTTCAGCGGCCTCGCAGCCACCGGTGGAGACGAACGGAGCTTCAGCGGCCTCGCAGCCACCGGTGGAGACGAACGGAGCTTCAGCGGCCTCGCAGCCACCGGTGGAGACGAACGGAGCTTCAGCGGCCTCGCAGCCACCGGTGGAGACGAACGGAGCTTCAGCGGCCTCGCAGCCACCGGTGGAGACGAACGGAGCTTCAGCGGCCTCGCAGCCACCGGTGGAGACGAACGGAGCTTCAGCGGCCTCGCAGCCACCGGTGGAGACGAACGGAGCTTCAGCGGCCTCGCAGCCACCGGTGGAGACGAACGGAGCTTCAGCGGCCTCGCAGCCACCGGTGGAGACGAACGGAGCTTCAGCGGCCTCGCAGCCACCGGTGGAGACGAACGGAGCTTCAGCGGCCTCGCAGCCACCGGTGGAGACGAACGGAGCTTCAGCGGCCTCGCAGCCACCGGTGGAGACGAACGGAGCTTCAGCGGCCTCGCAGCCACCGGTGGAGACGAACGGAGCTACAGCGGCCTCGCAGCCACCGGTGGAGACGAACGGAGCTACAGCGGCCTCGCAGCCACCGGTGGAGACGAACGGAGCTACAGCGGCCTCGCAGCCACCGGTGGAGACGAACGGAGCTACAGCGGCCTCGCAGCCACCGGTGGAGACGAACGGAGCTACAGCGGCCTCGCAGCCACCGGTGGAGACGAACGGAGCTACAGCGGCCTCGCAGCCACCGGTGGAGACGAACGGAGCTACAGCGGCCTCGCAGCCACCGGTGGAGACGAACGGAGCTACAGCGGCCTCGCAGCCACCGGTGGAGACGAACGGAGCTACAGCGGCCTCGCAGCCACCGGTGGAGACGAACGGAGCTACAGCGGCCTCGCAGCCACCGGTGGAGACGAACGGAGCTACAGCGGCCTCGCAGCCACCGGTGGAGACGAACGGAGCTACAGCGGCCTCGCAGCCACCGGTGGAGACGAACGGAGCTACAGCGGCCTCGCAGCCACCAACGCCATCAACGCCATGGTAACCAAGGCTTCGCTGGTTACCAACAGCACTGTAACCAAGGCCTCCATGATAACAGTGATTCTGATAGATGTCATCATGCGGAAGGTCGGGGTAATTCTGGTGGCGGCTTGAAAAGGAGACTCTTTCAGGGAAATGAAGAGGCGGACAGGAGGGACAGAAGGAAGAAAAGAAGAGGAGAGACTGGGGATGTTGGAGTTTTAGAGTGTGACCACGGATTGGGTGGGAGAGGGGTCGATTCAGGAGGGGCTGAGGGTGGGGGAAGAAAGGAAAGGGTGGGGAGAGAGAGGAAGGGAGTGAGAAAGGTAGCACATATCAGAGAGAAGCGGGTGGGGTTTGGAAGGGCAAAAAGTGGTCCAAATAGTAAGAAAGGAGCAGGGAGTGTGAGGAGAAGACAGAAAGTGGGCGGAGGCTCAAAGCGTTTTAGATCGAAGCGTGGGGTGGCTGGGAGAAAGGCTGGGACACTTGGGAGGAGTAGTCAGAGTAAGGTGGCGTGTGGTCGGTGGGGTGGTGAATTCAACGCGGAAGGAGCGGCGGGTAGGGAGACGGGGAAGGGGAAGAGGGAGAAGGAAAAGGAGGGAGAGGAGGGAAAGGGGGGAGGGGAGGGAGGGGAGAGAAGGAAGAGAAATGAGAGGGGGAAATGTTTGGAGGAGGAGGATGATGACGTGGTTCTAGTGGAGGGGCCTGGGGTGGGAAGAAGGGACGAAGAGAGGGAGGGGTGCACAGGTGTGGGAAGTGGTGCTGTGAGTGTGGGGAGCGATGAGGGGAGTAGGGCTTTGGTATTGTCTCAGAAAGCTGTTGGGAGTGACGAGGGCAGGAGGCGTTTGGATTTGTCTCAAAAGGCTGTTGGTGTGGGGAGTGATGAGGGGAGTAGACGTTTGGGGTCGGCTGAAAAGGCTGCTGGTGTGGGGAGTGATGAGGGAAGTAAGGATTGGAAGGAGATGAATGTGATATGCACCCAATATCCTACTGAAACGAATAACGAGGCACCTCATAACAGGGGTAGGTACGTGATTTGTACTCAGTTGTTTCTTCTCGGGCCAAGGAATGGGGCATTGGGGAGCGGAGAGAGGGAGGAGAGAGAGGAGGAGGAGGAAGAAGGAGAAGGAGAGGTGATTGGGGAGATTATTATGGAGGAGAGGGAGGAAGTAGAGGAGTCTAAGGAATGTGAAGAGGGGGAAAAGGAGGAGGGAGAGGATGAGGAGGAAATGGAGGAGGGGGATAATGGGACCGAAACTTCCATGCCAACATCACACCAAAATAACAACAATAATAGCAACTTATACGAAGCTTACATGGATGCAGTGGGTGCTGTGATCTCGCTCGAGATCCTCCCGTGCTTCCTTCGTGCGCGCGCTTTCCATCTCGCCGACGAGCTCTTTTTGACGCTCCTCATTCCGAAACAACAGTGGGTAGTCCATGTTGTTAAGCTCCTCCTTTGGTACTAGGCATCTCGGACAAGGATACTTTGTCTTGATCCCTGACTTGGTTCCGGCGACTTTGCACTGCTCTGGGTAGTCACCGACGTACGAGTATGTCATCGTATAGACCTTGCAACGAATGCCATATGGGTCTGTGAGAAACATGCCCCTGCACACAACGAACAACGAGCTCTTTGTTAGTCAAATGTCACAAACGTATGTTAAAGGAGAGGACACCACGGACATGCACGATCACAAGAGTATGGAAACTCACACAAGCTGTTTACTTACTCGCGTTGGCCAACCTTCAACTCATCCATGATGAGATTCAGAGCCTCTTGGAACACCTCCAGCCGTCGACGTGGTTGATCCGCCTTCGAGTAGAAGCTGCCGTCGTCGTCAGGAAGCAAAGCGACGAGCCGATGGCCGTGTGTTCTCCAACGATTCCCCGCAGCGATGTTGGCCAGTGAAATGTACACAGGCCATCCCTTGAGGCCTCCATCGATAGTGAGTGTCGTCTCGTCTGAATAGATAATCACAGCAGCTACCGATGCTCCTTGAGGCAACTCCTTAAGAACGTCGCGCCACCAGCTCCCCGTCTCGGGACCTTTGTAAATCCGCCTCGCACCAGGAATCTCCTTGGGTGGTTTCACTACGAAGCCGGTAGCGTTCGCCACGTTCTCGTAAAGACTTCTCACGCATGACAGCACAGAACGACGCCACATGATAACCAGCTGCAAATCCCCCTCCTTTGCGAGATTGACCTGTTCGAATGGAGTCAATTTAGCATCGGCTAGTTGCAATTTTTTGTAGCTGTCAAACGCGGCGAGTGACTTGATCGATAGACGCTCAGGATTACTCAACACCTCTATGAGGATGGATATCAACTCCTTGATATCCACCCTCGAGAGTCCAGAACCTCCCGCTGCTGTCCTTGCGAAACGATACACGTGAGCGTTGACGTCGACGAGTGACGCATCTCCCCCTGGGTAGAAATGATACCCTGTTTGATCCTCGTTCATCTCGGCGGCATCAACGTTCTCGGCCATGCGACTGCACTCAGCCACCCTATCCGTGCGTGAACGTTTGTTCGTATTCGAGCGAATGCGGTCTGCAGCAGCTTGGAGCGCCTCCATAGCACCATGGCTACTTTCGCCACGCAACTCGGGTGTTGGATTTGCAGGTTTGTACTTGTGCTGCCCTCGACTCATGTGCCAAGCCTTTGCCAAAGGAGTAGCAAACCGAACAATGCAGTCCTTCACGTCACACCCATACGGCAGTTCCTCCATTCTGCCAAGTATGGACTGGCAAAACTCTCCAATATAGTTAATTGCAGACAGTATAAGATAGACAGAGTTCAGAACATGAGGTGACAATCCCTGTCCCTACAGCTACAAGGCCCTATGCAACGGTCTTCAGTTGCAACATCTTCTCGCACACATGCAAGGAAAGTGCAAAGGATGGTACAACGTTAGGATTTGTACACTGAAATGACTAGATTAACTCAGACAGCAAAAGCAGATTTACAATTTCTAAAATACCAAACTGAAATTGCTGCACAAAACAATTGACAGAATCATTCAACTATAACACATACGCACTGAAGAGATCTTCACATGCAATTCATGTGCATACCGTGGGGTGGCGAATTTGACGCGCTGAAACGGGAGCGCACCTGCAGAGACACATTGCACAACAGGGTGGAGACCAGCAGGAAACTCATGGAGCATCTCCCTAGATCACGAACTTGATAGAAAGGCAGATCCGTAGCGTGGAAAGGAACCGCGGAACAAATCGTTAAGATCCATGCACATCGAAAACATGGACACCAATCCACATATCACACACATGTGTAAACTGGAAAATGGCGACAAACAACTAGATTTTCGCTAAAAAATGACCCGTAATTATCGCTTTAAGGACAAAAGAAGAACGTCGCAAAATGTGCATAGGTGTTCTGGAGCCCGAGTCATACCACGGTTTCCTTGGTACGACAGTTGCAGATCAGTCAACGGTGGCGCGCGGGGTCGATTTGTGAAAGGAATGAACAGGAATGGAATTGACTAAGTCAGAGTTGGGTACAAATACAACCCTAGCAAACTGTACCCCATATGTACTACCCCACTATAGCCTACAAACATGCATCAGCTATAATAATCTGACACACCCCCATAGGCAAAGTGGGGGAGAACAAGGGGTCACAAGACCAGTCAAGTAAAGCAAAGCAAGCTCAGGGTGGATCACAAAGTCACCACACAGTCCGAGCACAAGAGCAAGGCCAGAGGCCAGTTCACATGCAAGAGTACAGACATATATATAAAACTAGACAAGCAAGAGCAGGTATATATATGTCAAAGTACAAGTAAAGTCAAGAAGAGAGCAAGTGAGGCAAGACAGGTACAAGACCCAGCTGGGTACAAAAGCGCTGATGGTCGCAAGGCGCAAGTGCCTTGGTGAACACATCAGCAGTGTTGGCCTCAGAGGCCACGTAAGCAAGTCGCAACTGACCACGCTGCTGCAGCTCACGAGCAAGGAAGTAGCGGAGAGCAATGTGCTTCGTTCTGTGCTCCAAGCGCTGCTCTCGACACAAGGCCAACATGGCCTTGTTGTCTACGTACAGCACTGGAGGAGAACGAGGCAGCTCTCCAAGGTCAGTCAGCAGGTAGGTGAGCCAGCGAAGCTCCTGTGCAGCCATGGCCCCGGCGTAGATCTCAGCCTCACAACTGGAGCCGAGAACCGAAGACGAGCGAGTAGACCGCCACGAGACAGAGCCGGAACCAAGGCTGAAGGTGTAACCCTGTGACGACCGCTGCGTAGCCTGGTCGTCAGCCCAAGAAGCGTCTGCGTGCCCAGTAAGGACCACTGGACTCCGCCCTCCAAGCACTAGCCCCATGCCCGACGTACTGCACAGGTAGCGCAATACCCTCTTCGCTGCAGCCATGTGCTCTGGTCGGTGTCTCCCAGGAGCAACATAGCGTGCAAGGATGCTCAGAGGGTATGCAAGGTCAGGTCGTGTGCAGGTCATCAGGTACATGAGGCAGCCAACAAGCTCTGCATACGGACCACTCGACTCTACGGACTCATCCGAAGGCAGAGCTGAGAGTGAGTGGCGAGTAGGCAGAGGAGTGGCCTGAGGCGAGGAGTACGTGAAGCCGAAGCGCTGAAGGACCTGCTGCACCATGTGTGACTGAGTCAGGGTAATGGTGCGGCGTGCTCTGTCCCGAGTGATCTGCAAGCCAAGGTAGCTGCGCAGTTCACCCAGGTCTGTGCACGTGTGTCTCTTCAGCAGCTCGGACTTCACGTAGGCGAGTCCAGCAGTGTCCGCTGTGGCAAAGACCAAGTCGTCGACGTACACGAGGATGTAGAACGGCGGCAGGGAAGTGTCGGTGCGAAGAAACAGCGACGGGTCAGCAGTAGAAGGAGCAAACCCAAGAGCCGCAAGCGTAGTCCTCAGTGTGTCGTGCCACTCACGCGGTGCCTGGCGGAGGCCGTAGACTGGCCGTCGGAGGCTCCACTGGGTGCCAGGAGGGAAAGTCCCAGTGAAGCCAGGCGGACGGCGCAGCCAGATCTCCTCGTGCAGGCTACCCTGCAGGAACGCAGTGCTGAAGTCGAGAGAGTGAAGCTCGTAGTCGCGCTGAGCGGCAATGTGCAGCAGCACCCGAAGAGTGGTCATCTTCGGGGTGGGAGAGAAGGTCTGAAAGTAGTCAACTCCCTGCCGCTGACTGAAGCCACGAGCCACGTAACGCGCCTTGAAGACAGGCGGCGAGCCCGGCGGCCGCTTCACCCTGAAGATCCACATGCCACTGACGATGTTCGCCCCAGGAGGGGGAACCGCGTCAACGTAGGTGCCTGTGGACTTCCAGGAAGCCATCTCTGCATCCATAGCTGCCTGCCACTGAGAGGAGTAGGGACCCTCTACGGCCTCCGCGTAAGAACGCGGAGTCGGGATGTCTAGTGCATCCGGGTCTCCCTCAGGGGCTAACAGTACAGACGCGAGACGAGGTGAAGCAGCGGCTAGACACTGGAACTCCTCCTGCCTGTCCTCTAGGACGTCCGTGCCAAGGGCACACTCACCCCCGACGGACGGAGGACAGGCGGACTCAGACTCAGCGACAAGACGAGCAGCGTAGTCTAGACGACAGCGCGCAGCAAAGTCGACAAGCTCAGTGACAAGGGCAGACGCAGCAGACGACTCGAAGGAAGGGTCAGTGACAGCAGTAGCAAGGAGACGCGTGACAGTAGGACTGGCAGCACGAAGAGAGTCCGACTCCGGGTCGGCAAGAGCAGGAAGAGAGGAAGCAGGAGGAGAAGGCAAAGGGGCACGCAGAGGAGCAGTGGACGGACGCAGTGACATCCGGTGCGTGCCAGGGACAGGAGGAGGACGCTGACGCGACCCGCGACCACTAGCGCGCTCAGTACGAACAGGCGACGCAGGACGAGACGCAGGCTCACGACGCTCAGTAAGGCCTCCAGTCGGACCAGCGTAGGGAGAAGGAGCAGGCAAAGGGGAGGCAGGCTCTAGCTGTGGCTGTGACCGGACAGGCTGCGGACCCTCTAAGGGAGGAGGAGGAGGAGCAAGACCAAGAACCTGCTCCAGGAGCGGAACGAAGTACGGTCGAGACCGCGCGGCGACGCCAGAAACAGCAGGAACAGAACCAGCAGCTCCGGCCGGAGCACCCACTCCAGCAGCACCTCCAGCAGAACCACCAGAAGCTCCAGAACCTCCAGCAGCAGCACCAGGAGCACCGTCAGTCGGACCACCAACCGCAGGCTCAGCGCCAACGTCCTCAGCAGGACCAGCTCCAGGAGAACCCTCAGACCCAGCAGCTCCAGCACCCACAGGACGAGCACCGCCAGGTCGCGTGGCAGCAGCGCCCTCCGCAGCCGAAGAACCACCAGAACCAGCGGCACGCCTCCAGCGCCGGGCAAACCACTCACGCAGCTCCTGTGGAGAGAGCGGCTCCCGGCGAGACGAAGCACCCCCAGGCACAGCACCTCCAGGCTCGGCACCTCCAGGCTCAGCACCCCCAGGCTCAGCACCCCCAGGCTCAGTACCCCCAGACACAGCACCCCCAGGCACAGCACCCCCAGGCTCAGCACCCCCAGGCACAGCACCCCCAGGCTCAGCACCCCCAGGCTCAGCACCCCCAGACTCCGCACCCCTAGGCTCAGCACCCCCAGGCTCAGCACCCCTAGACTCCGCACCCCCAGGCTCAGCTCCCGCAGCAGCACCAGAGTCACCAGTGACCTCGACAGGCTCGACCGCGTCTACCTGAGACACACCTGAAGGGGCAGGACCCTGAGGGGGGAGGGGGACTACTGGGGGGGGACCTGGTACCAAGAAGAGCGGGGGTGGGGGGAGGGACGGAGTGCGGTAGGGGAAGAGGCGGTAGTAGGGTACCGACTCGTCGAACGTGACGTCCTGGGAGGACAGAACACGTCGAGAGGTGGGGTGGTAAAACTGCCACCCAGGGGCGTCGGGGGGGAACCCGAGGAAGACGCAGGGAGAAGCACGAGGGGACAGCTTGTCCGCAGACAGGTCGCGAACAAACGCCCGAGATCCCCAGACCCGGAACGCCGACGCATCGCCAACCTTCCCCGTCCACAACAGAGCTGGGGAGGTCTCCGGTCGAGAGACCCTGGGGTGGAGGTTGATCTGGTGCGCAGCGTACCTGACCGCAAACGGCCACAGAAAATGGGGAGCAGCCGCATGCATCATGGACGTACGAGCGACGTCCATGACCATGCCAATGCGGCGCTCAGCGATCCCATTCTGCTGTGGTGAGTCCGGAAGCGTGAAGGTCTGACGGATGCCTCGCACACGACAGTAGGCACTCAGGAGGGCAGAGGAGAACTCTCCGCCTCTGTCCGAGTGCAGACGCAAGACAGGGAAGTCAGAGCCAAAGCTTCTCCGAAGCTGAAGACGAGCTGCGCGGATCCAGTCGATCAACACCTGAGTGACCTCACCCTTGCTGCGCAAGGGGAAGACTGTGGTGTAACGCGAGTAGTCGTCAACCACCAGCAGGAAGTAGCGCTCCTGACCCTGTCC